AATCCCAGCCTTCCCTTTGTGGTATGGTACCTTGCAGTACAATTTCAGAGAGATCCATACATTTGTACACAAGTTATTGTCTGGAAACTAGAAAAATGCTTATTTTTGGCCCCTTATTCCTAAACGTTTAAGGCAATTATCCCCAAACTCAATTCAAGCTTTCCCTTTGTGATATGACACCTTGTAGTACAATTTCATAAAGATCCATACACTTAAACACAAGTTATTGTCATGAAACTAGAAAAATGCTTGTTTTTTTCCCCTTTTTTGCCCCTAATTCCTAAAATTTGGAGGCAATTACCCCCAAAATCAATCCCGGCATTCCTTTTGTGATATGAAACCTTGTGGTACAATGTCAGAGAGATCCATACACTTACACACAAGTTATTGTCATGAATCTAGAAAAATGCTTGTTTTTTGCCCCTTTTTGGCCCCTTATTCCTAAAATTTGGAAACAATTACCCCCAAAATCAATCCCAGCATTCCCTTTGTGATATGGAACCTTGTGGTACAATGTTAGAGAGATCCAAACACTAACACTCAAGTTATGTCTGGAAGTTACAAAAATGCTTATTTTTGGCCCCTTTTTGGCCCCTAATTCCTTAACTGTTGGATCCATAACCCCCAAAATCAATCCCCACCTTCCTTTTGTGGTATAGAACATTATGGTAAAATTACAAAGAGATCCATTCACTTAAACTAAAGTTAGAGTGCAAAAACCAATGTGTCTTCGGACGACGACGACGCCAACGTCAAACCAATATGCGACCACAAAATTTTTTTGCGGTCGTATAAAAATCAGCTGAACATTTTAATCACGTTCTATTGTTAAGGAAATATTAAGCTTCTCAATGATCAAATTAGTGTTTGTCAAACTGCTATATATCCAATGAAATTTTTCCGATAAAGAGTGTGAATTAAGTTTTTTAGAAATTTCTATATTTTTGTCAAAGGGTCCAAGTAAATATTTTGTCAAAATTTTATGAAAATTAAATGAGCCAAATTAATTTTAGCCAAGGTGTTTGGTACCACCTTAAATATCAATCCAAAAGTATGTTTAATATGTTGTTTGATATATGATCCATATCAGTCCCATTGACAAGAGTTTATACAGTGGTGGGTAGTTTGGACAAAAGGGATAATTTTTCGTTCCCTATTCATAATTTTCCTTTTTTAAAAGGTTATGTTCCTTAAACTTCCTTTGGCCCCTTCCTACAGTGTTTATATATCTAAATTCGTTGGCTATGTCTATGTATGTTGTGAACTTATAGATTTCAAAGAATCTAATCTATGTATCACTAATAAATTTTTGGGTTAGGGATTACATTACCTCAAATAACTTTAAATCTTTGCTTAATTCTTTTCATAGATACAAAGATTTGGTTGGAAGTTAGGCTGTACCTTAAGAAAACCTTCATTCCTTACTATTAATTTTTTGCTACAAAAAATGATATATTTTATATAATAACAGGATATCATTTTGACTGTTTTGTCCTTTAGGTGCCAGACCCCAATTCAAAATCCCATCTATTAAACCATTTTTTTGTAGCTTTCTAAATATTTCACCTTCATAGAAACCAGGTACATCCTGAGTTGTACATGTATCACCTTTCTACATGCCAAATATCAAACAATGTTTAAAGTCTTGAAGTGAAACACGACCATTCGGAAGGCAACTACTACCAAAAATAACCCCTGGTTTTCTGGGAATCTTAAATAAGTATACAATGGAGCGCATCAATCCTCAATTTTTAATGCAAACACATGGTCGAGTAAATTTTGCCTAAAAATGGTCTAAATATATTTTCCTTTCACCAAAAGTTTCATTTCTGCAAATTTGTTGGTTAGTTAAGGTAAACAATGACGTTCAAAGCACTATTTCTTGTCAGGGGAGGGCTACTTTTATGTTCTAAATTGGATCGGATGAATTGGTGGTCTGACACTTAAATGGAGCTAGTAAATGCAATCCAAGTAAACTATCAATGCTTTGAATAAACTTATTTTAAAAGGTTATCAATTCAACACTGCAATATTTTGGTTATTCATAATTATACTCTTCACAACAAAGAAGTGGAGGGTATAAAGTCATTGAACCCTCCACCAGTCAGTCTGTCAGTCTTTTTCATTTCTAGATGCTAACTCAAATGCTTTGTATTAGATTGCAACCTTACTTAAATATATATGGTGACCTATATTGAGAGGAGAGTATTTCATAATTTTTTTCAGGAATGAAATAAATTCTAATTTTAAAGATCAAAACATATGAGAATATATGCATTAAAGTATTCAATCTGTGAAAAGAAATCTTCTGTTTAGGGCGGGAAAAAAATTTTAGTTCTTGGTATCATATTTGTCAGACAATATTTAAAAGTAAATAAAATGCTTCGCTGGGCGCAGCTTGATACGACCGCAGAGGTCGAACCCTGAACAGTTGGGGCAAGTATGGACACAACATTCAAGCTTGATACAGCTCTAAATTTGGATTGTGATTAAATATTTGACACAGCATAGGTTTCTGACACAGAAAGAATGTGGTCTAAGAACTTGAATTTTTTTAATTTACCTATTATGGTCCAATGTCCAAAATCAAAATACATGGTTAGATTCAGCATATCAAAGAACCCCATATATTCAATTTTTGTTGAAATCAAACAAAGTTTAATTTTGGACCCCAACTTGGACAAACTTGAAAACTGGGCCTATTATCAAAAATCTAAACACATGTTTAGATTCAGCATATCATAGAACCCCAAGAATTCAATTTTTGTTAAAATCAAACTAAGATTAATTTTGGACCCTTTGGACCTTAATGTAGACCAATTTAAAAAAACGGGACCCAAAATTCAAAATCTAAAAACACGGTTAGATTTGGCATATCAAAGAACCCCAATAATTCAATTTTTGATGAAATCAAACAAAGTTTAATTTTGGACCCTTTTGACCTCAATATGAACCAATTTGATAGCGGGCCCACAAATAAAAAATCTAAATACATGGTTAGATTCAGCATATCAAAGAACCCCATATATTCATTTTTGGTGAAATCAAACAAAGTTTAATTTTGGACCCCAATTTGGACCAACTTGAAAACTGGGCCAAAAATCTAAAATCTAAATACATGTTTAAATTCAGCATATCAAAGAACCCCATATATTCAATTTTTATTGAAATCAAACAAAGTTTAATTTTGGACCCCAACTTGGAAAAACTTGAAAACTGGGCCCATAATCAAAAATCTAAACACATGTTTAGATTCAGCATATCAAAGAACCCCAAGTTATTCAATTTTTATTAAAATCAAACTAAGTTTAATTTTGGACCCTTTGGACCTTAATGTAGACCAATTTAAAAAACAGGACCCAAAATTAAAAATCTAACTACACGGTTAGATTTGGCATATCAAAGAACCCCAATAATTCAATTTTTGATGAAATCAAACAAAGTTTAATTTTGGACCCTTTTGACCTCAATATGAACCAATTTGATAGCGTGGTCCACAAATAAAAAATCTAAATACATGGTTAGATTCAGCATATCAAAGAACCCCATATATTCAATTTTTGTTGAAATCAAACAAAGTTTAATTTTGGACCCCAATTTGGACCAACTTGAAAACTGGGCCAAAAATCAATAATCTAAATACATGTTTAGATTAAGCATATCAAAGAACCCCATATATTCAATTTTTGTTAAAATCAAACAAAGTTTAATTTTGGACCCTTTGGACCTTAATGTAGACCAATTTGAAAACTGGACCCAAAATTAAAAATCTAAATACACTGTTAGATTCGGCATAACAAATAAATAAATGTGGTCAAAGATTTTACAAAACTAATGCGCCATACTGTGCAATTAAAGATTACTTGAATAAGAATATTTGAAATTTAAAAAAAAAATAATATTTGAAGAATAATTCTTTTTAATTTCTGAAATCTGAAATGAGAAAAAATTGCCCCCCCCCACAATTTCTTTTTACCCCCCCCCCCCCCCCCCATTTTTTCCCCAAAAAAATTCTTTCCCTCAAGATATGGTCATAATCTCAATTCAAAAAGATGCAACATTTGCAGATATTTTTACTGGTCTTCCTTTATAAATATACATTTCTGTAAACATAATTTAAAAGCAGTGTAAGGGAAGTAACCAAAACATTGTATTTGGATTACCTCCCTTACACTGTTTCAAATTATCTTAATTGTTCATTAACCATTACTTTATACATAATTTAAAAGCAGTGTAAGGGAGATAATTCCAATGATGTACTTGATTTATCTCCCTTACACTGCTTTAAATTATGTTTTGTACTAAAGTATTTGTCCATTAACCAGGACAACCTTGTTTTTCCCCCTTTTTTGCCCCTAATTCCTAAACGGTTTGAGCCATTACCCCCCAAAGCAAATCCTAACCATCCCTTTGTGGTATGGAAACTTGTAGTATAATTTCAGAGAGATCCATACACCGTTCCACAGTTATTGTCTGGAAACTAGAAAATGCTTATTTTTGGCCCCTTTTTGGCCCCTAATTCCTTAACTGGTGGTACCATAACCCCCAAAATCAATCCCAACCTTCCTTTTGTGGTATTTAACCTTATGGTAAAATTTCAACTAAAATTAGAGTGCGAAAACCAATGTGTCTTCGGATGACGACGACGACAACGTCATACCAATATACGACCGCAAAAATTTTTTGCGGTCATATAAAAATTAAACTAGACAACTTCAACAAATTTCTTTGAAAATTTTTTTTTAGTATGAAATATGTTGCAAAAAATTGTAGATGACAAAATGATATGATTTCTCTGGGTTTTCATCACCACTGTGTTTGACATAAGTTTGACTGTATATAATTATGTTTACTACATACTGTGAAAATAAAAATCTTAAATTCTTTAAATTTGGTGCTCCTGCGAAAATACATGTTTTTAATCAAGAAGGCTTGTTTCGGACCCTTAAATAAAAACACTTACACAGGAAGATGAAATGAAAAAAAATATATATAAACATACTGTTTCCTCAATTTCGCCAGCCTCTTCTCTTGACATTCTATCTAAAATATCATCATAGTACTTCAAACCAACTTCTTGTTGATGTGTCAACTTTGCTTTTGTTTTGAGATCTTCTAGTGTTCTAAATCCCTTTTAAGAATAACAATACAAATCTTGATATAATATCATTTTCAAAAATGTTTGAAATTCAGTTTTAATCATAATACTGTAAAGTAGGAAATGTTTGTTAGACGCTTAACTCCAGTGATGTGGCAGTGTTAAACTAGTGTTGTGAGATCACAATCCTCTTTCAAGTCATGATCAGTGGAATAACAAAAGTTACATAAAAGAACATACAATAAGATCTTAAGTAGCATTCTTATGACATATAAGCCTAAGTCAAATTGAACTGCTATTATTAGCTGTTTTTAGCTGTTATTTACCAGTTATTCATATTTTTAGCAGTCCATCTAATAGCAGTCTGAAAAACTGCCTTGTTTCACCATTTCTTAGCATTCACCTGTAGCAGTTTGGATACCTTAAAACTGATGTCAATTTGTCAATTGGACAGCAGTTATGACAGCAGTTCAATAGAAGTTTGGTAGCAGTTTTTGTTTTAATCTTTGTTTAAAATGCTTGGATCTGGTTTTGTTTTCAGCTTGATAGTAAACCTTCATTTGAAGATTATTTGATCATTTTCAAATGTGCATTTTGGCTCCAAGCTGTAGTAAATACTTGCTGGTGAAAAACAGTATTTATGTCAATTATAAAGTTTAATTTACTATAATAGGCTTAATGGAATACTTTCACAAACCTGCAGTACAGTAAGTTGAAGTTACAGTTAATGCATGTGTATTTTCTGGACACAATTAAATTTTGTAGGGGAAAACAGAAATCATACAAACAGCCCAAAAAAAGGGGATAGTTATTTATTCACATAGAATATCTGATTTTTACAGGATTGTAATAAAATACTAGCATATACTTACAGTGCAAGATATTATTTGAAAATAGAAATATGAATATCTTAATATAATTTTGTAAAAAAAAACAAAAACAAATCATATTCAAGAGTTGAAAAAGGGGAGGGGGAATATTAGGAAAACCTAGGCCGCAAATAGCTGATTGTTTAATATTGACCAAACAATCCATTTAATGAAGTTAACATGGTTAATATCGAAACATAATATATAACCTGTAGTAAGAAAAATATTTCTTTAAATTTAAAAGAGAAAGAGAGATAACTGTTGTCTTTTGGTCCACATAAAATGTATATACAATGTATATATTTAAGTACGTCCACGATATCTCAGTAGCATGAGTCTGAATCCCTGCCAGAGAAGAACAAAAACTTTGCTTCCGCAAATTTACAGATCTAACATTGTTGGGCTGTTATTTAGACGAACAATGTATATTATATATATTTAGAGAGAGAGAAATTAGTTGTACATTTGGTAATTAAATAATAATTAAAAAGAAATAACTTTTAATCTGAAAATCACTTAGTCAAGGTAATTAATAGTCTCTAGTAACCACTCTTATTGAATTAGTTGCTTTTTATAAGCACTGATATTTAAAGTGCATTCTTAACTGTTCCTATTATTCTGCCACTGACATAATTAATAAGGGGTCTAAGGCCAGATACAGTTCTCACAAAACATATTTACACCCCATTAACAAGTCCGTTATTGGATTAAAATCAAGTCATTTGATTGCAGTTAGTCTGCTCAAATTACAAATTTAAGTTAGTACAACTTTTTGAAATTTCAACAAGACTTACAGTAAAATATTTCTGCATTCATAACTTGTACCCTGTATATTCATGTACCTTTGTATTCATACTTTTGACAGACACGATAGCATTCCATAGCAGTTATTAGCAGTTTTTAAAACCATATTAGGATGTACAACTTAGCAGCTTGTATGAATATTCATTATTGATAGCTATTATTATAGCAGTTCTCATGAATATTCAGAGAAGATAGCAGTTTTGGGGCATCTCATTTAAATTTTTCGTCAAAAATAACTGCAAAATAACTGTAACAGCTAAATAAACTGCTACGGAATGCTATTGGAATGCTATTGGAATGCCTATATGCAAAATAACCATTGACTTGAATTTGGCAACTGTGAATGCTAATGAACTGCTAAAGAACAGCTGGCAAGTAAGAACTGTGAATGCTAATTAACTGCTTAAGAACTGCTGTCCTCTTTGACTTGGGAGTCAATGGTATAACAATTCATTAAGTACTTCAAAGACATACGTAAATTATATGATATCAAAATATCGACTATTACAGGGTGCCTCTTAATCTACTCTAGGAGATGTCATGGTCTTGCTATAAGGTGTATCTGTAATGTTAATCAATGAAAACCTTAAAACAACACTTTTTTTGAAACAACAGTTAAGATGAAAAACAGCAATAAAGTGTTGTTCCATTATATACTAGTATTGTTTATTTTTTAGTACATCTAACTAATATCTAGTCTATACCAACTTGATAAACATGGTATAATACAACACCTGCTGATACCACTGTCGACTTGTTACAGCCCCAGCACCCCAAACATTGGTAAAATTCCAAAGTTTTTATCTCCTCGTTGGATTTAAATTCATCTAACTTCCGTAATCCACCACTTTCTATAATTTCCCAAATTTTATCAGCCAGCTTTGCTCCAATGGCTGGTAAAGCCTTTGCTTCCTATAATGAAACAAATAAGACATTCTTTATAGAAGGTCTGGATGGGGTTTTATTCATTTCTGAATTCTTTAATTTTGTAGGGCATTTTTCTCTATTCTTTAATTTATTTCCACATAATTCTCTTTTCTTTATAATTTAGGTCCCAATGATTTTGCATTCTGTATTTTTTTTTTGTCTATTTTTATCTAACCTGTATTTTTTTTATCCCTTATTATGTATCTTTTGTCCATTATTGTCTATTCTGTAAACCCCATCCAGAACCTCATTATAGGTATAAATGTTGACACATGGTATTGTCCCTTCCTGCACTTTTTGCATGCCAACTTCAAAAGGTCCAATGGTCAATTGCTCACCTGAAAAATGTACCTCTAAACTGCTCAAGAGAAGATAACTTCTAACAAAATTAACCTTGGTTAGTGGATCTATCTGTTTTATTGTTTATCTTTTACAAACAAATATATTCTTTATTTTTTTACAAAAAAATATATCCTTTATACATACTGTAAATTCAGATATTATTGCATGCATTTATAAATGAGATTTTTGGAGAATTGAGAAAAATGTGAGATTAATTTCTGCGATTTCAGGGATATCTGCATACTGATATATGTATCAGATATTAGAATGCGAGTCCTTATTATTGTAATACTCACCAAGTCAAATTCACATCAAGAGAAACCTCGCAAAAATTTCTGAATATACAGCAGTTATTGATGTCTAAAAAAAAAACTATAACCAGATTGGTCCTTAACGTTGAAGACTCGAACAATGAAATCTAGGATCCCTATGTCTGGCTTGCACTACATTAATGTTGTATTGTAAACTCAACAAAAATGTAACTTGATACAACTTTTTCAACCTCCACATTGAAATAACAAGCTATCCCTATCTCTTATTGTTCAATACCCCACATCACCTTTTGTTCATTTTTAGAAAAGGTGCAGGATATGTACCAAATGCCACACAGACAGATGGTTGTATACCACACAGAGAGATGCTTGTCATCATCTAACCCTAGTATTGCCACTTTTTTACATCTTTATGATCATACAATTAAACCCATACTATTATATGGCAGTGAAATATGGGGAATGTTTCGTACTGATTCAGCTGCATGTAAAAGAGATAATGATTATATATTGGAAAAAGTTTTTGGTCAGGATTCCTCTGAAAAAGCTCATAACAAATTTATGAAATATATTCTTGGTGTAAACAGAAAGTCCAGTAACATAGCTGTGATGTCAGAGCTTGGTAGATTTCCTATTTATTTTACTATAATTTTATCAATGTTAAAATATTGTCATAGACTGGAAGGTTTGAAAGAAGGATTATTATTTGATGCATTCATATGTTGTAAACAATTACATATTTCTAATGTAAATACATGGTACTCTAGTATAGATTATATTCAGAGAGAGATTGATTTACCAAATTTTGACCAATCAATTGGTTCTTTATGTCAGTATGTTAAAAATAAACTATGTGAAAGTTATTTAACATTTTGGAATAGACTGAAGTATCAAACAATTAACTCTGAAAAAGGGAAGCTTGGTACTTATTTTTCTATAAAAAATTGTTTTGAAAAAGAAAAATATTTAGAACTACAGGATTTTAAAAAAAGACAGTCAATTTGTAAATTAAGAATAAGTGCTCACTCTTTAAAAATTGAGACAGACAGATAATCAAAAAATATATAGAAAGATCTGAGCGTCTTTGTTCAAATTGCTCACTTGGTAAAGTTGAAGATGAGCTTCATTTTTTGTTAGAATGTCCTCTTTATGATACTCAAAGGGAAGACTTTTTTCAATACATATCTGACAATTGTTATAATTTTAAAAATTTAAATAAATCTTCTAAATTTTTATGGCTCTTGACTCAAGAAAATGTAACTCTTATGGAAAAACTGGGCTGTTATATTTGTGACTGTTTTGAATTAAGGAGATCAGGTATTCATATTGACACTAAGTCAAGTAAATGATTTGAGAATGAATGCATATAATGTAATTTTATTCTTTTATTCACAATATATATGTGGTTTTTGGCTCTGATTCTGACCAATGCTAATATACTAAATATATATTTTCAAGTGACTATTATTGTTGTTGTTACCAATTATGTAAATCAATTGTATCTGATTTTATGCCCTTTATGGGTCCTGTAATTTGGGAAATAAAAATATTCTATTCTATTCTATACTATAATTTAATGACTTATCTTCAACTAGCATTTATTATGATTCTATTAGCAGCATACCTCCCAAGTTGTAATTTGCGTTGGATGTTTCTTAAGAACCTGGATTGCTTTCTGGTATCCAAAAGCTCGCCACTTGTCACTTGTAATTTCATACTTTTTAACCATTTCCTGAATTGTAAATGTTTGTAAACAATGTTGCAAATCAACTAAGCAGCTGGCATTCATTTCTAAGGTTTATACAAATATGGTATAAATCTCAACTCTTTCATACATGCACAAGCATATGAAAGTAAAGTCAATATTGAGTTCTCAACCTTATTCAAACTAACATGTGTCATTGCACATGCTCATATAAGCTTTTTCAAACTGACATGCCCAGTCATGTATGTTAATTCAAATTAACATCATCAATTTGGAAGGAAATGGAGATAAAAAAATTATTAAGCCATATTTTGTGCTATTTAAACTATGCCATTGCTGGAATACAAAATTACCATTGTGGCTGTGGTTAAATCTTTCTAAGCGTTATCATTTCTATTTCATTTTTTTTTCAGATTCTCAAATATATTACAATTTTATGCCCTTTATGGCAAAAATTGTTCTTCAAATAAGTACTATGGAGATAAATCCCCTTTTAAACTTTCTAAAATATAGTGCAATAAAAGAAATTCATTATGTACTAAAGTAAGTCACTGCACTAATTTCATAATGTAATGTAACATTTTAAGTCATTTTTTTTAATAACAAAAAGGACAAAATAATAAACAAATCATAACTCAGAATATCATTTATTTTATTTTCAACTAGTCATGATCTTCATTTAAATTTTGAAATTTATCCTAATAACATGATTAAGCAGCAATTTTGTTTTTAAATGCAAGCACAATTAAATCATCATCATCTGGAGATAATTAGATAAAAAAAATCAAATGTGAGCAGCTGCTCATATGAGCAATCTGATAAAATGCACATGTGAAACAAAAGGTTCACATGGGCATTTGCAAGTGAGGTTTTTAACATGCAAATTAAGTTAGTTTCATATGTGCAATTTTTGTGCTCACAACTCCTCACCTAATTTGCATGTTAAAAACCTCAAGTGCAATCATGTTAGTTGCTATTGTTAGATCTCATGTTAGCATCTTATGTGCAACTTTTTAACACCGTTTGGTAAGGCTACACCCTCTAAAGAGCCTGTGTTGCTTACCTAGGTCTATCTATGTGCAACTGCATCAATAAACAACATTGTAGACTCAAATATTAGTCATAGCTAAAATTTCTCTTTTTGTTGAACTTAATTGTAATGCTGATAATGTTTTCTGTTTACAGTTTCTTTCTTTCTTCTAATGGATACACCAAAAACACAAAAATGGGTAAAAATCATCCTTTCAGGGCAATAACTCCTAATAGAAGAAAACTGACAAATTCATCTACATGTATGCTGACCTATTTGAAGATCTTATCTTGCTGATCATTTTAAAATTTGAAGTTTATATCTATGTTTTATAATACTCATCATAGACACCAGGATTAAAAGTTATAGTTTTATTATTATCATTATTTATTATTATAATTATTGTTTTTAAGATAATATAGGCAAAAGACTATTCTTCAAAATCATATGTGGGGTTAATCATTGTTATTCTTCTGCAAATATTGTAGCAGAATATATTACTTTTTAAAAAATATTAAAGTAATTAGTACAAAAAAAGAAATAGGGTCAATAATTGTGATGTTTATAAAAAAAATTAAATAAGATGGGGTATGATCATGATGATTGCTAAAAATATGACTCTATCATAAAGACAACTCTTTACCAGAGACCAAATGATGTAGAAGATTAGCAACTTTAGGTCACTGTACAGCCTTCAACAGTTAATTTTTGTGACCTAAGAGTATAAAAATAAGGAGAAGTTGTATGATCTTATTATGAAGTATATGAATGACACAAATAATTATGACATCATAATAATTTTAGGGTGACTTTTTTTCCTCTATATACACAATATTTCACATTGTTTCCTTCTTGATTTGTGACTTTTTCTGTGACCTTTTTTCCCTACATTTACCATTATTTGCTTTTTTTCCTTACCAGATTTGTGACTTTTTTCCTTACCAGATTTGTGACTTTTTTTCCTTACCAGATTTGTGACTTTTTTCCTTACCAGATTTGTGACTTTTTTTCCTTACCAGATTTGTGACTTTTTTCCTTACCAGATTTGTGACTTTTTTTCCTTACCAGATTTGTGACTTTTTTCCTTACCAGATTTGTGACTTTTTTTCCTTACCAGATTTGTGACTTTTTTCCTTACCAGATTTGTGACTTTTTTCCTTACCAGATTTGTGACTTTTTTCCTTACCAGATTTGTGACTTTTTTCCTTACCAGATTTGTGACTTTTTTCCTTACCAGATTTGTGACTTTTTTCCTTACCAGATTTGTGACTTTTTTCCATTTTACAGACAATTATACCACATCTTCTTATTTTTATAATAGGTGAATCTTTTGTAAATATTTTTTACTATTTATAAATTTTGGAAGTACACTTAATTAAATCTACATGAATTGACCGTCAGTAACTACAATTAGTATCAGATTGATCTGTGTTATCCTTATAATATTTGAAGATCTGCTTAATATAAATTTACAAAAATGTATGATGCATTGTATATATGGTATGACATGTAGGAGTTATACAAACCTCTAATTTTTCTGTAATATGACTGTTGATATTAGGTATTGGGTTCAAAGAAGACTGTGCACAAACCCAGTTACCTTTCTGAAAAAAATCTAAAAAAGCTGAAATCTACTATGAATAAGTACAAAAACCTCTTTAATTTAAAACTTGTAACAACTGTACAATATATTTTCTCTATTGGATTACCAAGCCACAACTTTACAGGGTTATCACTATATTTTAAACATTTATAATGATTTAATCTTAAACCATCGAGACATACATTAATAAGAAAACATTGTCTGCACTATGCCCAATGCCCTTGACTAGTTGGCCAACTAGCTTTCATTAATTGGATGATGTCATTTCTCATCAGATAAACCTAGGGTTGTGGCACATTTATTATTACACTGTTAGGATGAATTCAAGACATAATAATCTATGTTTTCCCATTCAGGTACTATTAATACTTTGCCAATCCTGATACTAGTACTATAAATGTCTCTAGTAATATGTATACTTCTATAGGATGTCCATTTCAACTGTAAAGTTAGGAATGGAGCATCAATGTAAATTATTTTAAAAAGTTTTTTAAAAAACAAATGTTCTTGTATGGAAAAGATGAAACAACATGGACCAAGTACAAATACACACATACAAAAAAACTATTTTCTTTAAAGATCTCAAAAGGACAAGGTTCACTTCAGGCCATTGAATTTCAACTTTATCATAAAATATCATAAAATGCTTCGCCGAGCTCAGCCTGATACGTATACGACCACTGAGGTCGAACCCTGAACAGTTGGGGCAAGTTTGGACACAATATTCAAGTTTGATACTGTCTGAATTTGGATTGTGATCAAATTTTTGACATAATATAGGTTTCTCACACAAAATAAATGTGGTCAAAGATCTTAAAAATTTGAAATGGGACATTTAATTTACCTAGTATGGTCTGATATCCAAAATCTAACAACATGGTTAGATTCAGATTTAAAAAAACACCAAAAATTTAATTTTAGTTGAAATCAAACAAAGTTTAATTATAGACCCTTCAAACCTTAATATGAACTAATTTGAAAACAGGGCCCAAAATAAAAAATCTAAATGCACAATAAGATTCATCATATCATAGAGCCGCAATAATTCAGTTTTTGATGAAATCAAACAAAGTTTAATTTTGGACCCTTTGGACCTCAATGTAGACCAATTTAAAAATGGGGCCCAATATCCAAACTAGTAATACAAGGTTTTTTAGAACCCCCAAAAATTAAAGACTTTAAATTAATCCCATTGAAATTGGTTAAAAGATTTGTATTTATTTTCAATTGAAGATTTCTTGCTATTGTGCAATACTGTGCTATTGCGCAATACTGTGCTGTTGCACAATTCTTAGTTACCGGTAATCTGTTATATATAATAATTTACACACCCTGTTTGGTGTGTATCTCCTGTCATATCAGTATTTGTTGCATTTATATATAAATCAGAAATAATCTATGTAAAAATGGAAAATTTTGGGGAAAAAAAAAAAAAAAAAATTATGAAAAAAAATTCCCCCTAAAAAAATTGTCCCCCCCAAAAAAAATTTTTTTTTGACAAAATTTGAAATTATGAAAAATCTTGAAGAAAAAAGTATGAACCTCCCCCCAAAAGAAATTGCAAAAAAAAAAATTTGAAATTTTAAAAAATTTTGAAGGAAAAAAAATGAACCCCAATTACCCCCAAACTCAATTTAAGCTTTCCCTTTGAGGTATTGAAATGAATTCAGAGAGATCCATACACTTAAACACAAGTTATTGGCTGGAAACTAGAATAAACTGCTTCGCTGAGCGCAGCTGGATACGCCCGCAGAGGTCCAACCCTGAACAGTTGGGGCAAAAATGGACACAATATTCAACCTTGATACAGGTCTGAATTTGGATTGTAATTAAATATTTGACATATTATAGGTTTTTGAATAAATGTAGTCAAAGAACTTGAAATTGGTTATATGAATTGAATTTATATTCAATTAAAGATTTCTTGCTGTTGTGCAATATACTGTGCCGTTGCGCAATACTTAGTAAATCTGTTGTCAGACTATAAACAAATAAAGTTAAATTAATTCTCAGTCATATTAGAAATTTATGAAAATGTAAAGGGAGCTTACATCAATAGATATAAACAATTCACCAAAGTTTCATGAGAATGGCTGACAGCATTTTTGAGTTATTGTCCGAAAACTGGAAAATCCCCCCTTTTTTAATGAATAAAACCCCATAACTCAGAAATGATAAATGAAAAATTTATAAAATTCTAAACGGAGCTTACATCAATAGATATATAAACAATTCACCAAATTTTCATAAGAACTGCTGAAAGCATTTTTGATTTTTTTGTCTGAAAACTGGAAAACCCCCCTTTTTTATGAATAAAACCCTGTAACTCTGAAACGTCAAATCTAAAATATATAAAAATTGAAAGGGAGCTCATGTCAATAGATATAAACAATTCACCACAATTTCTTGCAAGTTGGTGAAAGCATTCTTGAGTTATTGTCCGAAAACTGGAAAATCCCCCCTTTTTTAATGAATAAAACCCCATTACTCGGAAACGTAAAATCTAAAATATATAAAAATCGACAGGGAGCTCATGTCAATAGATATAAACAATTCACCACAATTTCTTGCAAGTTGGTTAAATCGTTTTTGAGTTAATGTCCGACATGTTGACGACGGACGGACAGACGGACAGACGGACGGACGGAATTAGGACAACGGTATACCATAATACGTCCCGTAAACGGACGTATAAAAATGCTTGTTTTTGGCCCCTTTTTTGCCCCTTATTCCTGAACGTTTTGGGCAACTATCCCCAAACTCAATCCCATTCTTCCCTTTGTGATATGGAACCTTGTGGTACAATTTCAGAGAGATCCATACACTAACACACAAGTTATTGTCCGGAAATTACAAAAAATGCTTGTTTCTGGCCCCTAATTCCTAAACTGTTGGTACCATAACCCCCAAAATCAAACCCAACCTTCATTTTGTGGTATTGAACCTTCTGGTAAAATTTCATAGAGATCCATTCACTGAAACTAAAGTTATTGTCCGGAAACCAAATGTGTGTTCAGACGATGCCGACAACGACACCATAGCATTATACGACACAAAAAATTTTTGCGGTCGTATAAAAATCAGTTGAAAAAGGCTTAACTCATCAGATCGATACAAAGCAGAAAAACATCAAACAAAAACACAGACTGGATGTAGATGAAAGCTAAATTTGTATGTTTGACAAACTACATATATATGAAGCCAATTAATTGTCCCAACATTCAGAACTTACTGGTTACAATAATTTCCTTCATCAAAGACACAAAATCTGTATCAGCGCTGGTACATTTTGTACAATAAAAATTTTGGGGTTGAAATATCTGAAAAGCAGATTTCAATTTTTAATGGAAGGAACGGAAGAGAGCTTGAAAATGGGTGAGATTTTGACTTCTGTCGGAAGAATCATATGTAATATATGGCATCAAAGCTTGAATCATATTGTCAAGTACATTTGTACATGTTCACGTATGTACAGTAGGAATTATCACTTCAGTCCCTATAGGCATGATAGGAAAACAATCTTTACATCTTCATCGCTTGTTTTGTATTCACTACTTTTACCACTCTCACTTTTTTCTTTTGTTTTGATTCATGAATATGAATCCTACTTGACCTACATACAGGAGCCATTTTAAGTGTTCCTGAAACTGGAGGTTTTTTATTTTCGCACACAGCATCTTCAGGGTTTATTTCGAAGGTTTTGCTGCCATGTTGCACATCTGGTTTGGAGTGGGGCAAATTCCTTTTGATAATAAAATTGTCTGTGTTAACCAGTGATTTTTCTCTAAAACATCTACTAAGCCAATTAGTGTTTATCAAATGAATATGATCAGGAATAGTTTCAACATGTAGAATACTAAGTAGCCGTGTTATTTCAATATTTGCCTCCATAATTATATATGTAGTGCATGTCTTCTGTCAGCTCATCGGAGAAAGACCCTCCATATTTTGTCAGCTTAGTTTTGAAGATTTTCATTCTGGCATTCTCAATTCCTGTCTTCAGAATGTTATATATAGCAGTCGGATATTAACGAACACAACCTCTTGGACAATAAAGGAAAACACTCAAATATTAACGAAAACAACGACTGGGACAATAAATCAACTGTGACATGAGTGAAAACAACCGCCGTTGACCGACACAGATAAATGGCGCAGGGTTGAAACAGTCCTCATATCCCATCCCTTGTATAACGATAAAGTTAGATAAAAGAATGCACTTGTGTGAAGAATAGACGATTTTAGACGACCCTTTATTTTTCAGTTGAAAAATTTGAAATAAAACTCTTTTTACAAGAATGGACATTTTCAAATTACATGAATTAATCAACCCTTTCTTGTATGTTCTTAAAACTGAAAAAAAAATGCTTTGTTATATGCAATATTCAGGTTCCACCATAAGGAAAGCTTTTCACATAAAATTGAAAAATAAACTATTGGACTAGATCACGATGAGGACGTAGCGCAGCGAATGTTCGCTCCCTCGAGATTTGGATTTCTGTAAGCCAAACGGAAACATTTCTTACAACAATGTGGTCTCGGAATTACAAGAAAGGCCCCATTATATTTTTGTATACTTGTATCTCTTTTCCTTAGCTCTATTGATTATATCTTGATCTTTTTCATATATAGTCAAACGTAGTCGTTAGATTAGAGTCTTGTTTAATCTTTCCTACTAACAAAACAAAAACAAAAAACAAAAAAAGATTCAAAATGCTGACAATAGTTTAATAGTTTTAATGGATCAGATTGACTGAAAAATCTACATGCTGTTAATAACTTCTGTATAAAAAAGTTCGTATAACAAATTTGTGTGTTGGATTTGAATTTTCAGTACTAGTATTAGCTTAACTTTTGCATAGAATCATGCACTGCCGTCCGTGTTTATATATTGTTTTTCTTTAGTTACTGTTTAACAATTTTGGTTGTGAAAGTAAACAATTCATAATTTTCTTTTGGTACCAGTATTATTTTGAAAAAGTCCGTTATGATATGAAAGTCATGATACTAGGTATGATTACAAATGAGACACCTATAG